GTGGGGGTGGGGAGGGGGTGGTCGCGGCTTAGCCAGTGGCTGCCAGCACAAAAGAGAGCAACCAAGATGGTAACTATTCCTCCTCTATCCACCACTGATTGGCTAAGAGGGCTGCTCTGCTTTACTTCTCTTCTGCATGCTTTAAGTAGATCCCTAGCTATAGGCACGTGCTTTTGTGAGGCCCTCATTTTTGTGAGGCCCTGCCCTTCTCTGCCAATCAGTGCCAAGGGGCAGGGCTGCATGAAGGGCACCCCTCTCTGCCAATTAGGAGCAAGAGGCAGGCTGTTGGGGCCCCTCGGCCAATCAGTTGTGGGGGAAGGGACTTGTCGTGAAAAGACCATGAAAATGGCACTAGGTGTCATGAGCAGCCTGCAATTTTTACTACTCTTCTGCGTGCTTTAAGTAGATCTCTAGTTATAGGCACATGCTGCACTTTAAGCATGGGAAAAGTCTCATTTAAGTCATAGTTATATAAGTGAGAAGTCCCACTGCCTGATCATATGCTTGAGTGCTTTGTTGCAGCAGGGTCAGCATGACCCAGATTTGGCCTCAGGTTTAAATTTTGGAGGTTGGCTCTATCTGAATCACATTACAGGACACAAGAGGACTGATTTTTCAGAAAGGATGAACACTGTGATGGTCAGTAGAAACGGTGGGTGTTCCACATCTCTGAAAACTAGGCACAAATTTTATCAGTGGCTCTCAACATTTTTAAGCTTGAGGCACTCCTCATTATATGCAAAAGACCCCTCATTAGGCTTGAGGCACCCCTGGGAAAATGTTAGCTCTTAGTTTTTTGACTACAGAACAAAAATAGTTTTTCTGTTATGAAGAACTCAAAAAAATTATATGAAGTCAGAATGTTTTTAACACTGTGGTTTCCTATTTAGCATCCTCGTTGAGAATCAATGAATTATACAAAGGAAGATTGTGTGATTAATAGACAGGAAGCCAAATAAATGAACAACAGCACTGAAACAATCATTTACAGAGGAGAAGCCCCTGCATTCTACACTCATTTGCCCCATTTGCATGGGGTCCATGAGAATGAATGAGCTTTCCAAATCTTGAAAAATCAACAGAAGACTTTCCAGTAACTGAAACACTTGTCAGTTCTGTATTGTCAGAGTGACGTGCACTGCAGATGTCCAGGACTCCATTGACCAGTCCTCCCTTCCTCCACTCCTGGTTTTTAGAGACCTTATCAAAATGGCAACATCTTTAAATGAAAAATGCCCTCTGGCTTTTGCTCTCAATCTGCATTTCTGAAGTCCTTTTGGGGTTGGTGAACTGTAGGAAGCTGGTGCAGCATTACCACATCACTCCTTTGCACCAGGAAGTCTGCTGGAAAGGGACAGCAGACAGGTTTCAGGGAAGTGGTGTCAGGCCTGGCTGCCACTTACATTCAGGCCAGAGCCAATTCTACCAGCTCTGCATTGTCCCTGCAACTATTCCTGGCTGAGAACACACTAAAGATGGAATAGAGTTTGGAGGAGAAATGGCCTGGACAGAGCTGCACCTCCCCTGCCAGGTGCCATGAAACTCACTAAAGCACAAGGACAAAGTAGGGCAACTTAGAGTCACATCAGCCCCCGGAACTTCTGGATAAGGGGAAATGCAGATACAGGCGTCAGCACAGGGATAAACGTGGTCCTTAATCCAGGCACCAACCCTTGCTGTGACCTGATGCAGGCATACATAAAAACTAAACGAAAGAAGTAAATTTTAAAGAGTTCTATTCCTTCAAGTATGTAGATGAACTCATCTGCAGGGCTGCAGCTGCCAGCAATAATCTATCCATCTCAGGAGATGAATAGCTAGCCCGATAATGAGATCATCTCCATTGAAATGAACTCCCTGCTATTCAATTTGCCCAGCTTCGATTCATGAATTCTGCACAAACAGACTTGAGGAAGGCAACTCAACTCTGCTACAAGGTGAGTGGCTAATGAGCTAAATTATTTTATGAAAGCAAATATTCAGAAAAGGTGAATTCATGATTATTTCGCTAATATAATTTTAAAAAAAGACGTTTAAAGCAAGCTCAGCTAGCATATAGATGTGTCTTTCTCACTTGTTCCTTTTAAAGGTACGGAACCTGATCTGCAGCTGGCATAAATCAGCATAGCTCCATTGACTTTGTTTGAGCTATATCAGCTTACGTTAGCTGAGGATCAGGCCCGTGGCACTGGCTTCGCCATTGGCTTGTTTCAGTCTGACAGGGAGATCTGCAGTGAAGCCAACAGTGCTGCTTGTCTTGCATAAGAGCATGGAGAATTTGGCCCTGTGCTTTCATGCTTTCCCTAGTGCATCTTAGGCAGACAGTTCAATCATTCCCATTTGCATTTTTTGAAGAAAACAACTCTTAATTAAGTCAGCTGGCAGTAAGTGGGTAAATGGACATTTTTTTGGCTGAGCAGGAGGCAGAAAAAAGCTCATGCAGTCAGTAAAGATACTTTATCCCCTGCACAGCCATTTTCAGCCTATCTGCTGCCTGCCTTTTGAGGCATCACAGTGTTAAAAATATTCTTCCCTGAAGGTATTACCACACTGCAGCAGATGTCACTGACTTAGCACTATTTGAAGGGTCTATTAAAAGTAATGTAATTAATTGCTTAGGCTGTCATCACAGCACTGCTTTTAAGATGTTTCAAATGGTTTATTATTTAGGATCCAGTTCTGCACAGTGCTGAGCCCCAACTCTGCTGGGAGTCAGTATGGACTACAGGGTACTCAGCAAGCATCCTTGGGCCTACTCCTACTAGACATGGTGCTGACTGTTAGCCCTGGTGCCATAACTTCCATGGGACTTTGTCCAATAGCAAGTATTCATACTCCTATTAGTTACTAGCAGGTAGGAGACCCTTGTTTGTAGGCTCTTTCAGTTAGGGACTATCCTTCTTATGTATGCTACAGAACTAATTACAGATTCTCTTTCCAGTAAAGTAGAAGGGAATAAATGCTGAGAAGAAAAAGTTCTGTAAGCCTATAGGAGGTAACAGAGCTTGAGCAATATATAGCACAGGTCTCTGAAGAACTAATGCTAGACTAATTTATTTTTTTTTAATTGACATAAGATTACAAGGGAAGCATTAGATTCAGGTTTGGATTGTTGTGCAGGATTTATCTATATACCTTATTCACAAAATTGATTGAAATAGGTTCAGATATGGGAGTTGTTTACAGTCATTTAGGCCAGTCTCAGTTTATGTGACACAGAATAATAATAAATATGATTTTGTAATACACAAAAGGGGGAAGAGCTCTAGTGTGTTGCTACAGGCATCAGTGTTTATCTCATCTATTTCTCATCACCGTTAATGATACTGAAGAAAGAATAGATGGCACATTAATGGCATTCACATATGGCACTAAATGAAGGTGTTTCAAACACCGCTGAGGGCAGAGAAAGAAAGCGCTAGTAGTTAGAACCATCAGTATAATATAAACCTAGAGTTCGGGCATCATCCAAAGTCCACAGAAGTCAGGGGGAAATGTTCCATTGACTTCAATGGCCTTTAGATTAGCATGAGGGGAAAAAATGCACACTAATTTATCTGGGCAAAAATAATCCAAGATGCAGCTATTTTACTGGGAAGGGGAGTAAGGTAAAGAGTAACAATGATAAAGAGACTTAGAAGTGAAAGCTGGCAGTAAGTTAGGCATGACTATGCAATGTAATTTGACAGCTGAACAGGCCAGTGTAATTTTGAGCTGCATAAACAGAGACACACTGATGTAATGGACTTTTCTACAAAGCTTTGGCACAATCTCACTTTAATTATCCTTGTGTTTGACTCTGGGTACCATATTTCCAGATAAATATTGACAAACCGCAGGTTTCCAAAGTTAAAGCTGGTTGCAAATTTTGTAACAGAAGAGTTTTTTTCACAGGAAACTACAGGCTCAACAAAACTGAGATTTTTTTCAGGTACACTTCTATTTTCTTGGAATTAGATGAAAAATGATTGAAGTGCTTTGTCTTGACGGCTCGGAAAACTTCCTTTCAGCTTTATCCATTTGACTATTTATATCTCATGTTAAAACAAAGCCAGTTAATAAAGTCATTTCTATAATACTTATTTTTAAATGTTCCTTTCTTAGGAAAATTTGAACTTTTCAATACAGCCATGGTTTTCAAACTGAGGAACTTCCCTAAATATTAAAACTTCCAAGTTTTGATTGACTCCAGGTATGGTGAAGCTAGAACGATGGATGTCAGGTAAGATTAAGAGAGAAAATGTGGAAAGCTTTATTAAACATATGTATGAGAGACACATTAGTCTGCTACCAGACAGAATACAATGGATCAAAATGTTTTGAATTTTCAAAATTGGATCAATTTTTTAAAAGATGTGATAGACATTTTTGCTGGGTTTTTTTCAACCAGATTTTGTAGCACAGTTAATTTTCTGCATTTCTGACCAGGTATACCTGGAATAGAAGAACAATTGAGGATACTGCAAGATAATATAGGGAAGAATAATGGAACGAACTTAAGCAAGAGAGGTCTACAGACTTTCTCATAAAGCCATCATGACAGCAATATGCTGTCTATCGCTTGTGGACCAGACTGCAAAGAAAATGGTAGATGCCTCTTTATTTGAAACATTCAGAGCTACAGTAGCTTAGGTGGAGAACTAGACAATATCCTGGAGGGAATAATTTTAAATTGGTACAAAGACGGTGGTTAGGTCAGGGGTTGGCAATATGTTTGAGCAGAGTGCCAAAAACACTTGCAACTTTAACTTGTAAGATGTTGGTGTGCCAGGGGCAGATGGTGGGGGAGATGCAAGGGGCCCAATCCTTGTTATGGCAGCGCAGCACTGACCCCTTCCCTGCTCTCTGCCCAAGGTGTGCATGCCAAGCAAAATGCCTTCATGTGCCATACTCTTGCACCCATGGCAGGGGTTGCCTACAACTGGGTTAGACTATCTGTTAGGTCTTTCTCATTTCTGATGTTTGTAGGCTACATCAGCAGTCAGCAAGTGTTTGCAGCAGTTGGTCAAATCAACCTGGCTCAGGTCCAAAGCTAGCCAGTGCTTCCAACCTGGCCAGTATGGGGCAGAAGAAGTTCCCAGTTCCATAAGTCAGATCCAGTGGCTTTATTGGCCAGATCCAGCCCACAGGTCATATGCTGCCGACCATTGGGCTACAGTATCAGGGCTGGATGTGACTCGATGTGACAGGGCACTTGGTGCACCTGTCACTTTAAAAGGAAAGGCTAAAGGAGAAGCAGCCTGCAGGTGTGGCGGGGGAGGGGGCAATCAGAAAGTCATGTGACCTGAAAGGGGTGGGGCTTAAGGAATATAAACCCAGGGAGTCTAGTTCTGAGTGCCACAAGTAGAGGAGCTCTTGGCAGCAGAGCTCCTAAGATAACTGCTGAGCTGGGGTGAGCAGCACTGAGTATGAGAACAGCACTTGAGCCCAGCCAGAGCTGAGAAGAAAGGGCCTGGGGCCCAGAGATCTGAAGCACAGGAGGGACAAGCATCAGTAGAGCCAAGAAAACCAAAAGGTCTCAACTAGCCCAGAAGAGGGGCAAGGGTCTAGGGAAACTGAAGGTCAAGGACCATAGCTGAAGACCAAAGGCACTAAGGCAGGGATGGGCCAAATATGGCTTGCTGGCTGGATCTGGCTCACCAGCCCATTCTATCTGGCTCATGGGGCCCCTAGAAAATTTTTAAAAATATATTTATCACCTCCTGGCTGCCTGTCAAAGATGACAGGAGCCAGGGTAGTAGGGCCCAGGGGAAGCCAGCAGGACTCAACAGCCCAGAAGCAAGGCTGGCCAGGCCTGGCCCTGCCCCCAGCCACCTCCCACCCCGAAGCCCCATGTTTAGCAGAGGCTTCTGGCCTGGGCCCCTGGGGCTATTCCTGCCTCCCTCCCCTGGAGACGGAAACTCAGATAAGAGTGGGTGGAGGGAGGCAGGGGAGGACCATGGGGATCACCCCAGTTCTCGGGGCCAGGCTGGCTTCTGCTAAGTCCTGCGGTCTGGGAGCCATGTGGTGCTGGAGTGGCCGGCAGGAAATCAGGGAAATGGCAGCTACAGGCATGGGGGAACAGGAGCAAATGGGTGCGTGGAGTGCAGGGACAGTTGGGCGGGAATGTGGGGCCCGCGCTGGTGTCCTGGGGCCAGCACCAGTGGGGCAGCAGGAGTGCAGGGTCTGGCACCAGCTGTGCTGGAGGGGGACAGGGGCCCTGTGCTCCTGCTGCCCCACTCTGGGCCCTGCCAGCACTGGCCCCAGGACACTGTTGTGGGTTCCACTACCAGCTATCATTGCGCTCCCACATGCCCGCTTGCTTCCCCTACTCCCCACCTGTAGCTGCCATTTCCCTGCTTTCCTGCCAGTTGCCCGCCGTTCCAGCACCACATGGCTCCTGACTCACAGATTCATAGATTGTAGAGTCGGAAGGGACCACAATGGATCATCGTGTCCGACCCCCTGCCCCTGGCAGGAAAGAGGACCGAGATCAGATGACCCCAGCCAGGTGACTATCTAGCCTCCTCTTGAAGACCTCCAAACTAGGTGATAGCACCACCTCTCTTGGAAGCCCATTCCAGATCCTGGCCACCCTTACTGTGAAAAATTTCTTCCTAATATCTAACCTAAATCCACTCTCAACTAGTTTACACCCGTTATTCCTAGTCACTCCCTGGGGCGCCTTAGTAAACAGCGCTTCCCCTATTTCCCGTTGACCTCCCCTAATAAATTTATAGACTGCATGGCCAGAGTGTGTTCATAGGGTGAGTCCCACATGCACACCCCACCATACACATTCACCCACTCTCCCTTTGCACTGCTGTACACGCAGATCTCTATACTTCCTCACACAACCCAGCCACCCTCCCCCCACACACAGCCCCCCCAAAACACCATTCCCAGCCACACCCCAAATATCTACACACACACACACACACACACACACACGCTTCCACACCCCCCCCCCACCACCA